GAGGAATTTCGGCTTGAAACTCTATAAGTGATCATCGCTCCATTTGAAGTTATAAATTCACATTTGCAAGTAAGGTGACCCTTGAATTCTTCTTCATAGTTCTTGTACATGTTCCTTGTATATGACTCTGTTGTTTGTTGCTACATAGGCACATTAGCGAATACAACCAACTTAGACTGTTTTGACTCAAAATCTTCATATAGTTCCTTCTCCCAAAATCGACACAATGCCCTTTCATATTGCTTGATAAATTTTGTAAGTGTCAAACTCCTTTTAAAAAACATCTTGAAGTGCTTGTTCATAATTTCACTTCTTCGTGTTGTTGTCATTGTAGCACAAAATGAGCTCCGATGATACCTCAAAGCCCATCTTTCTAGAAGTTCAAATCAAAGTTTTAAATGTCAGAGTTAGGTTCACATCGGACCGCTAAAATTCATGTCGGATAGCGAAAATCAGGGATATATCAAGTGATATGAAAAATATATCAGATTATCATATCAGATGATGTGCATATGTGTAATATAATATCATAGATTAAATCTATGAATACTTAATAAATTCTATTGTCTAAGTATATAAAAAGTAAATAATTTATGATGCTTAAGGTTGATGTTGAAGGAAAGAAGAGAGAAAAAGAGAAGCCCGATATTGATAATTAAGGAGAGAGAAGATCGCTCGATATTGATGTCAGAAAAACAGTTTGGAGAATAGACCGATGAGATGTTGAATGAGATAAGAGGAGTGACGGACTGCGGTCTTTTTTTTCTTTAACTGATCGGGTTTCATCTTTAAAAGCAATATTAATTCAATCAGTAATTTATATCCAAACCTGATTAGATAAACATAACAAAAAAATCACTTAGTTTTTAAGATTGAAAAATTGGTATAGTCCACGTCTTCTGATATATCCAGTTGATATATTTGACATATCCCTCGATATATCCGACATAAACCCTGAAAACGTAATACACAATGAAAAGCTATGTATCGTGTTGGTTGGCCTCTAAATCCGTCATGTCGGTCGACATGTCCGACATGATGGTCGACATTTAAAACACTAGTTCAAATAAATTTTCTAATCATTTATTTTCTGTAAGACTATTTTTTATTCATACTTCTCCATCGAGAAAGAAATTTCTGTTTGGATCCGCCTTTGTACATGCATCCTTTAAATTCATTGAAAAACTTTGTATCGTGTTGGGTGGCCTCTAAATCCGTCATGTCGGTCGACATGTCTGACATGATGGTCGACATTTAAAATACTAGTTCAAATAAAATTTCTAACCATTTATTTTCTGTAAGACTATTTTTCATTCATACTTCTCCATTGAGAAAGAAAGTTTTTTTCGGATCCGCCTTTGTACAGGCATCCTTTAAATTCTTTCATGAATCTCAGCTTCGAGTTATACACATGAGAAAGAATACTTAATAAATTCTATTGTCTAAATATATAAAAAGTAAATAATTTATGATGCTTAGGGTTGATGTTGAAGGCAAGAAGTGAGAAAAGAGAAGCCTGATGTTGGTAATTAAGGAGAGAGAAGATCACCCAATATTGATGTTAAAAAACAGCTCGGAGAATAGACCGATGAGATGTTGAATGAGATAAGAGGAGTGATGGATTTCGGTCTTTTTTTCCTTTAACTGATCGGGTTTTATCTTTAAAAGCAATATTAATTCAATCAGGAATTTAAACCTAAATCTGATTAGATAAATATAACAAAAGTTTTTCAGACTAAAAAATAGCTGACATGGCCGACATGTCCCCTGATATATTCGACATGTCCCCTGATATATTCGAAATGTCCCTCGATATATCCGACATGAACCCTGAAAACGCAATACACAATGAAAATCTCTGTGTCGTGTCGGTTGGCCCCTAAATCTGCCATGTTGACCGACATGTCCGACATAATGATCAACATTTAAAACATTGGTTCAAATAAATTTTCTAACCATTTATTATCTATAAGACTATTTTTCAATCATACTTCTCCATTGAGAAAAATATTTCTGTTTGGATCCGCCTTCGTACATACATCCTTTAATTTCTTTCTTGAATCTTTGGTTCGAGTTATGCACATGAGAAGCATTCTTTGCAACATTTACAAAAAATATGCCATAAACAAAGACAGTGACATGTATTTGGTAATTCTATCTCAATTGCTGCTTTCATTGCGGAAGATTGATCTGTAAATATGATTTTTGGTTGTTGACCGGACATTCCAATCTTGAATGTATTAAATAGCCATACAAATGAAGGGATTGTTTCATCAAAGAGGAGCGCGACACCAAACTGCAAACACGAAGGTTTTTTGTGATGATTTATGCCAATGAATGGAGCAAAAGGCATACCATATTTCGTTGGAAGTAGTGTCAAAAGAAGCATCACCACCAAGTATTTGTAGTCAATGATTGAACGTGTATCAGCCAAAATATATTTGTGAGTTGCTCCTTATCATGCACTTGTACAACATAAAAGAATGCAGGATCATCTGATTGCTTAGCGTAAGAAAGTTTAAAAGAACTTGTGCATCTCCCTTAGCAAAATCTCCCATTCGTAGAGTCCGCTAGTGATTATGTTGATATATTGAAAGAATTCCAACATTTTTGATGCCTTGAGATTCTTCTATAAAATAGTCATACACTTGAGTATGTCTTAGACCAGCATTATTCGTTCACTCAATTAATTCACGTCGTGCGGGCAAAATTTTTCTTTGTGATCTAAGCATGTGAGCCTTATCCGGACTTGCTAGTGGATGATTATGATCAAGAACAACCTTACTTACAAACCATGTCCCATCATGATTGACTCTAAATGCAATTTGTGCCAAACAATTTGTTGCCAAACAATTTGTTCTTTCGATTGCATATGGTTGCTCTGTTACGTAAGTAGGATGGTCTTTACGTAGGCCTTCTTTACTACAAACTAAAAGATGATTACGAATTGTTCCATCACTTCTTTTAGCTAAGCTTCCGTTTCTAACACTAAAACCCTTTCCCTTTACATATGAATTATAAAATTCATAAGATTCATTTTCTGAGTAGAGTTTCATACCAACTTTTGGTTGTGCCTTTGAAATATCACTTTTCATCAAAAACTCAGCCACTGATTCATTCACAATATCAGATGATATATTTTCATTCAAATTGAAGCTACCATTTTTCTTCAAAAGTTTAAGATCACAAGGTATGTTATGTTGATCGTGAACTTCAAACTTATCATGGCTACTGCTTGAACCCATATTTTTAGCATTCCTGAAAATACAACTATTAAGCTACACACACTTTTTTATTAAAGTAATTTACTTAAAAATAATCTCCAATTAGGTAATTATTTTTACAATAATATTCAAGACAAATTAGATGATATATACAATATTTTGATTAAAGTTGTGGAAGAGAAAAAAAAACCGTGACAAATAATTAAGCAAAAATTAGAAGATCTCTAGAATCTTACCAAGCAAGAATTGGAAGCAACAACAGATTTGTCATTCTTAATCGGCACGGTGGTTTTCTCAGGACGAATTTGGATCGCGCATCATTCAACTCCAATTTTAGCTTCTTTTTGGGATTTTTAGGGATTTTCTAAATATGTTAATATTTTTTGTTGAATAACAGGAGATAAGGTAGACGACATTTGGGTCCTTAAAAAGTTTTTTTTAAATATTTAAATATTTTTTTTGTTGGATAATGCATTGCTAACTGATGCTTTCCGTGAGAACCAACTCTCCGTTAATTATTTTTGCTAACAGCACATTTGTGTACGCGTGGCAAAATCTGCTTGCTCCGCATAATCAGAACGGTAGAACCAGTTTTGATACGATGCGTACTCGTAGGCGACAACCTACAACAAAGCTGACTTGTTCCCATATTGTAACTTGTCTCTCTTAAATAAATGACTGTGTAGTAGTAAGTTAATGGGATGGGGCACATGTATGGAGGCCTTATAGATTCCCATTTACCATTTGTGCATATATAGACATGCATTGTATGAAAACTTGTGTGTGTTTATGTGATCTTGCATTGAAAACTTGTCCTCATATGAAGATTATGAGAACCTCATTGTGGGCCATCCTTCATGGGATCTTCGCCATTCATATGATCTACATGACCGCCAAAATAGTGAGGAAATGAGAGGTCAAGAATCAAGTTTTAGGAACGTTCAAATTGGCTACTTTTATGAACTATTTGCAGCCAAATCCTTCTTATTTAATAAACAATCATATGTTAAGCTAATCAACATCATATAAAATGTTTAAACACCAAAATCAAGTTTTTTAGAGTTCTTTTGCATACGTGTCATTAGGGAACAAAAAGAAAAACACGAATAACTTGTTGGTAATTTGGCGATGTACAATATCTGAGACTTAAAGGAAAAATGGGGGTTAAATGTTTTGATGAAGATAAAAAGTTATGGAAATTTTCTACGTTCCAAAGTGTAGAACTAAGAAAATTATTCACTAGTTCCCTGTGTTTTGTTCCACTTAGCTGGTTATCCTGTATACATCATTTCAATGGGTTTCTGACGGAGGTTGAAGTTTGGGTGGACACTTGTATGATAAATCATGTTAGGTTCTAGCAAGTTTCACTATAACTTGTCTATGAAGTAGAGAAGGTGGGAGTTCTCTTCCTTTATTTCACAGTCTAATTCATTGCTTTCACTACTTATTTCATCGACTTATACTGTAAAGTTACAGACTGGAACTAGCGTGATGTGCAATGTTGTGTTGTGATAATGACTAATTCATTGATTTCGCTACTTATTTTCATCGACTTATATTGTAAAGTTACAAACTGGAACTAGTGATGCATATCTATTTCTTGTCCTCCAGAAAATGTTGTTGTGGATAATGACAACATTTATTATCTTGGTTTATTCTTAAAATTTTAATTTGTTAAGTGAGTTGGAAATTGCCAACACTTGTGTTACAATATTCTCGTTATTATGAAATCTACTTTGTACTGATTGATGGATCTTTTTTCTTATGGATTTACAGGAAGAGTGCAAGCGCTTAAGACAAAGCATAAAATGTGGATTAATAAATCGACTCACTGTGGTAATACTTTTATATTTCAAATTGTAAACTTAGATGGTCAAATCTTCCTTGTTGTATAACACCAAGAGTTTTTATTTCGTTTAAATATTTGAATTTTATTTATTTTTTACTTTTTTGTGTTTGTATAATTGTAAAACCTTCCTTTTCCGTGTCTTTAGGGAGATATCCAAGAAAAAGCCATGGTCCTTCAAGCTGTGAGAGTCAATGATGTAAGTACCCTCCAACTTTTATAGCAAAGTTTGGCCGATTTCAAATCATGTTTTTTTATTCTATACCTGTCTTCAAAGACGGATCCTTTTCTTTTTTATAATCTAACTTTGTGCTTTTTTCAGTGGTTGGAAAGTGAGAAGCAAAGGATTGGTCATCTACGTGATCGTGCGAGTGAAACTGGCCGTAGAAAGGAATATCCTCAGTCAGATTCTGTTGTTATTTTGATTGAGCTTTTCGTTATGTTACTTGTTGCTATCGCTATTGTTACTAATATTTGTTTATCTTACACATTATCTGGTAATCAAGATATACCTAGGGGCATTAGTCAGTCATAAATTTCAAGTAAGAATTTGGGATAATTGTTGAACGAGATAATTTCTTTGAAAGCGTGACAGGACACTAACTGGAGGGTTCTGTTTCTACAGTCTTGACCTTGTAATCTTTCTCTTAAACTGTCTAATCAGTATCGACACTAGGTCAGAAAAATAGTTAGATATCAAATTCTGCTTTACTTCTCATAAATGAAATGTGTATCTTAGCAGAAGCAAATGATTTGGTTTCCTTAACCCTGTTTCACGCTTAGAGAATGTGTAGAAAAGCTTCAGCTTCTGAACTCGACAGAAGAACGTAATCGGAGATTAAATGAAGTTCCAAAAATACATTCGGACCCTAAAATGGATCCTGACCATGAGTCTGCTGATGAAGAAGAATCTGATGATAAAAAGCAAGGTAGTTTGCCTTCTGAATTCTCATTAGACATCCTTTTTTTGCATCATTTATTTACTTCTCCTATGGTAAGCTATAAGTTTTTACTTATGCTATTGATTTCTTGTGTTAATGCAGATGTCTTCAGTAGACCAAGGGATTCACATTTTAGAAAGGGAAAAGATTTACTCTCTCCAGGAAGGGGAGGTGCTGCTTCAAGTAACTGGAATGGTGGCCGAAAAGGTTCAAGTGTTGTGTGGGATTCAAGCAGAAACGAAAGGGTGGAAGGTGCACAAGACAAAACAGAAGCACAAGAAAAAGTTGTTCTCCGAGCCAGCAACTGGGAAGCTGGTACAGATGCAAATGGTTTGGAGGCTGCTGTTTGGAATAACAATCAATCTGAAATTGGTCCTGGACTATCACATGGCGTTACACCTGAAACTACATCAGAAGCTCCATTATCTGAGGATACCAACGAGACAGAGAAAATATGGAACTACAAAGATCCTGCAGGAAAAATCCAGGGGCCATTTTCCATGGTTCAGTTAAGAAAATGGAATACTACTGGTTATTTCCCAGTTGATATGAAGATATGGAGAGCATCTGAAAATGAAGAAGATTCTGTATTGTTAACTGATGCATTGAGTGGGAGGTTCGATAAAGATCTACCACAGTGGGAGCCTCCACAAAGTAACTATTGTCAGCCTACAACAGTTGTAGCTGACCAGAGCAGTAGTGGAAGAGAAAATAGTCATTTAACTTCAGTGGGTAACAGCCCAAACCAAAGCATCTGGACTAACATTGTTGACAAAGAGCGCCTGAATGTTGACGGGTTGGCCTCGCAGTCAGTGATTGGGTTAGTACACAGAATAGAAGCGGCCAATCCAAGGGAGGTAAGTAGGATGTCCCTGAGGGGCTGGGACTCATCTATGGATCCTAATGCTTTGCCTGGACAATCCCAAGTTCACAACGATCTCAGACCAATCTCTCCCTTTTATGGCACACCCCATGGACCAGCATCATATCAGGGCACTGGAGTTCAGGAAATTGGGAATGCTGGGGGATGGAATCCAAACAATCCTGTGGTGACACAGCCTACTGGACACGGATATGGTCAACAGCATTCTAATTGGGGCCCATCAAACCGGCCTTCTTCTACAAATCAGTGGGGAAATGGTTCATCAACTCTTCCAATCCCGACGCAGCCAAATGGAGGAATCTGGACTCCACAGGGCACCATTAACATGGCTGCATCCCCTACTACTCCTGGGGTTCAAATGATTGGCACTGGCTGGGGATTACCTCCACCATCAATTCCGAGTGTTCATCCCATGGGCAGTGGCTGGGGGGCAACAACAATACCTTCTGCAGTGACTCCTTTTCAACCCATGAGCATTGGCTGGGGAAATACACCACCGACTGGAATAAATGGTGGTTGGCACACACACTCTACTTCTATGCCTAATGTGGAAAATCAAATGAGTGGATCTAATGCTGCTCATATTCAACGAAATTCAGTTGATGTCCCAGGTGGTGGCTGGGGTTCAAATTCTTCTCTTACGCTAAATGTAACCAATCAAATTATTGGGTTCACTGCTCCTCATGTTCAACGGAATCAGCAGTCTGATGCTTCACATGTTATGCAAGCCCCTTCAGCTGTCTTCCCCGTAAAGGGTGTTATTTCTCCTAGTAATCCAGCAGTCTTGGGCTCCTCTTCTAGCGAACAAAGTCGTGTTGTCGGCAAGAGCCAGTGTTTTGAGAGTGATTGCCCAAGTCCAACTCCAAGTAATGAGAGGCAGGGGCTCCCTGTAGCACAGCTTGATGAAGTTGATAATGGGAAGAGGTGGTCTGAAGCTAGAGCATTGGGGATGTCGGATATATCTAGTGGCTTACAGTCTGATGCAATGAAGTCGAGGCCTAGCAGTTTGATCAAGGAATGTGATCCGCTGGACAATATGTCTCCTATAAGAGAGACAGAGTCAAAGCCCACCGGTTGTGTCGAGAATCAAGATCTTGATGGTGAGATCCACAGTCCTACACCTTCAAGGGATGGATGGGAACAGAGTCAGGCCCTGAAACCCGAACCTATCATGCAGAAACCTGAGCATGTAGTAACTGGTGATTTGGAAGATGATGCAAGAAGAGGTTCTATGTGGTCTTTGCCATCTCCAACTCCGGCATCACAACCAAACTGGGGTATAGCTGCACAAGATGCGAATTTTGGTATCAGATCGACAGCAGAAAATCTGAAAACAGGCTGGGGAACCTTGGCCCAGGTGGCTGGAAATATGAATCACGAAGTTCTAGAAGATGCAAATGCTAATCCAAATTGTGGTTGGGGATCATGGCAGGAAACTATTATGACCGCTAACCCTGATGGAGAAAACGGACAGAATTCTGGTTGGGGAACAGCAAACCAGGGTTCTGGTTGGGGCACTGAACAAGACCAGGGCAAACAATGGCACAGAGGTGGGCATGGAAGAGAGTCGAGGTATGAATCAAGGCATGGAAGCTATTCAAGGCACGGGTGTGACTCAAGACATGATTCCAGATATGGTGGTGATTTGAGACATGGTTCCAGATCTGGAGGGGAATCGAAGTATGATTTGAATTATGAGGGTGATTCAAGGTATGGTTCGAGGTACGGTGGTGATTCAAGGCACGGTGGTGGCAGAAGCCACAAGGGTGATAGGATGCATCATGAACGTGGAGGTAGGTCCCGAACCCCTCCGAGAGGAGGGGAAGGCCAAGGTCAAGGGATTTGCAAATTCCATGAGAGTGGTTACTGCAAGAAGGGAGCATCATGTAATTATGTGCATACATGAGTTTACTTCAATTTTGTTTTTTCATATGCCTGTATAATGTGTCATATACCATTCTCACCCATCGAAGTAGTAGGAACTTCTTTACAGTGTTATATAGAAGATGGTTCAATTTCTTGGAACGCGCGTCCTAGATTATTGTGGTTAAGCTGGATTTTTTTTTCTTTTTATTTTTTTTTGTTCGGGTAAACTTTGTTGATGATGTGGCATCAGTTGAAGTTCTTTCGAGCTCTATCTTCAGAAAATCAGAATCTTCTGGGTTGGGAATTTCTGATTACTATTTGAGCAAGAGTTTCTGATCTACAGAAAATCGAAGACTAGAGAACTCTAGTCCTTCTCTGTCAAGTGGTGAGAGTCAGGGATCCATGGGGCAATAAGTTTTAATAAATAATGCTTGCGCTGTA